GGAGGAGGAGGAGGGCAGGACTTCCCAGGGCCCCCCAGGGCTCAGCCGAGCCTTGCTGGGCCCTGCCAGGCCCTGGGGGCCTTGTTTTTTTTTTTGGGGGGGGGGGTCTTTGGATTTCCAAGAGGCCAGCCCTGCGGTTTCTGCATTGTTGTGGGTTTCTCTGGAGTTCTAAACAGCCTTGTGGTTTTCTTCATATTTCTTTGGAGTTGCTTGGGATGGTCTCTGTGATTCTGGAGATTCTGCAGGCTTCTTTGGGCATCTTAAGGATTCTCTAGATCCTGAAGATCTGGGGGTTCTTGGGGGCCCTGGGGGGCCCTGGGGAGCCCTGGGGGGCTATGGGGAGCTCTGAGGGGCCATGGGCGGCCACGAAGGGCCCTGGTTCGGGCCATTGGGCGCCCAGGGGGGCCCCGGGGGGATCAGGGAGGGCCTGGGGGTCCTGCGCTCAACCTCCTCCTCCTCCTCCTCCTCCTCCTCCTCCTCCTCCTCCTCCTCCTCCTCCTCCTCCTCCTCCCTCCGCCTCCTCTCCTCCTCCTCCTCCTCCTCCTCTTCCTCCTCCTCCTCCTCCTCCTCCTCCTCCTCCTCCCCATTTCCTCTCCGCCCCATCCGCCCTCCTCCTCCTCCTCCTCCTCCTCCTCCTCTTCCTTCTGCTGCTGCTAGATCCTGCTTGCGCTGCAGTGTGCGGCACAGTACGGTTCGTTATTGTTCAGCTATATGGAACGGTACGGTACGGTGCGGCCCAGTGTGCGGCACGGTACGGTACGGTGCGGCACTGTACGGTACGGTACGGTATCGCAGCCCTATTCCCTTTTTTTCTGCGGCATTTTTGAGCTTGATCGCTTGTGATGTTTCTTGGGGCGGGCGAACACGCCGGGTGCGCAGGCTTTGCGACACCATGACCTCAAGGTTCCCGCCCGTCTCGCCCCCTGCAGCCAACTCGGCACACGCCGGCTGGCTCCATCGCGCCATCTCCCTACATATCCTCGACACTTCGCTGGTCTCCCGCGCCGGCCGCTGCCAATGGCGCAGCCGGCCGCTGCCGCGTGAGCTGGTGCCGCCGCGGACCGCCCCCGCCCGCGATGGCCCCCCTGCTGCTGGCGGTGCTGGCCCTGAGGCCCTGGCTGCTGGTCGGGAGGCCCTGCCGAGCGGAGACGTGCCACGCATCGGGTTGAGGCCTCAGCGCGCGAGGATCGGGTCCTTCGGGAGCAAATCATGGAAGCCTTGTAACATCCTCGCAACTTCGTCTTTAGAGTGCACGAGCGTCGACCACCGTCTTTCAGTCGATGAGATGCGTCGAAGAACATTGTTTTGTTCTTAGAACATATTGGGGTTCTACGAACATTTCGTGGTAGGACTATAGGAATACCGGGACGGCCGGTCCCTGCTCAAGATATGCGTGTTCGTGTCAATCCGGGCATGTTTCCATCATCTCGGCCCATGGGGTCCGTAAGCGGGCCCCAGAACTATGGGACATCTAGCCGCGGGGCGAAACAATATCCCTGGAGAAGGGGTCGGGACCTTTGGGGCCGCGCGTTGAAAACATCACATCGCTTATGTATGGGGGGGGAGGATAGGGAAAGTGTCGGCCACGCGTAGAGGGGGTACGGGGAGGGAGAAAGGTTTCTTAGAAGCACCCCTGCTTTTTTGAAGGCGCGTGCCTTGTCTGTAGATGTAGGGTCCACGCCTTCTAAGAAGCAGCCTCCTGAGCCTTCCCAATCCCTCTACCCCCTTTTTGTCAGTCCTGCTACTCCTCCTCCTGCTCTTCCTCCTTCCCCTCGACATTATCATCATCAGCATCATCATCATCATCGTCATCATCGTCGTCATCGTCATCATCCTCGTCATCATCAGCATCAGCATCGTCATCGTCATTGTCATCATCGTAGCCATCATCATCGTCATCGTCATCAGCATCATCATCAGCATCATCATCGTCATCGCCATCGTCACCGTCACCGTCATCATTGTCATCATCGTTATCGTCACCATCGTCATCATTATCGTCGTTGTCATCGTCGCCTCTGTCCTAGCATTATCATCCACATCATCGTTGTCGTCGTCGCCGTCATCGTCTTTATTCACCATCAACAAGAACAGCAACGTCATTATCACCAGCATCACCAGCATCCTCATCCTCATCCCCCTCATCGTCATCATCGTCGTCATCATCATCATCCTCATCGTCAGAAGTTTCAACATCTTCATCGTTGTCGTCGTCATCGTCCTTGTCGTCATCGTCGACACCACCATCAACAACAACATCAACCGCATCATCATCATCATCATCATCATCATCATCATCATCATCGTCATGCTATTCATCATCGGTGTCGTCGTCGTCGTCGTCCTTGTCGTCGTCGTTGTCACCATCATCCACAACAACATCAACATCACCAGCATCATCACCACCATTAGGGATCGTCTTCTCCCCGATCATCAGCGGTTGCCGCCGCGGGGCAATGATGATTTTCCAAGTATTGTTTGGGGCCCCAATCCGTCAACAAGCCCGCGCCAAAAATAGGTGTTTCCTATTATTTGAGGAGCGGGGTTTCAAGACCATTCGCGGCTAAACCCACCTTTGCTGTCCCTCCCCTTTTGCCCGGCCCGAGAGGAGTAAGGGGGTCAGTCGGGCGGGGCCAGGACAGGGATAAGTTGTTCCAGAGCGTTCAGGCAGCTCTTCAGACGTTCTGGAGCGATGTGGAACGGCCGCGGTGCCCGATGTATCCTCCAGAACCGCCCGGCCTCAGAGATCCCCGATATATCCCAGTCCGATGTTGTCCCAGTCTTGGCTCCGCATTAAACACATCCGCCCCCAACAGACGATCAGGAACTTTTGGTTCGCGTGTCGGTCCGCCGGTTCCGGCCCACCGCGCTTCGGCGCGAAGCGCTACCCACTTCCCGGTCCCCCGCGTCAACGTCCCGAGCCTTCCCGAGCCTTTCGCCCCTCGGAGCGGAGCGACACGCTATCCTTTCGCAAGGCATTGCGTGTCGCCGGGGCCGCTGCGGCGACACGTGAAGCAAAAGTTGCGGACCGTATGTCCATGTTTTCCCAACCTTCCTGCGTTGGGTTTTCGACTTGCGCAACTGCACGACTGCTGCTCCTGCGCCATTGGTCCTCCCTTGCTCCACCTCCGCTGCTGCCTGGGTGGCCTCGAACTGCGCAACTGCCGCCACCCTCGCGGGCTCCTTGAAGGCACGGCGGAGTTGGGGAGTGCGCGCACCCAGCCGAGATCTCGCAGCAACCCGGGGGACTGCGAACTGCGCAACTGTCACGACTTTCGCACCCAGCCGAGACCTCGCAGTTCCCCAGGTGACTGTGAAATGCGCAACTGTCGCCTCGCAGGCGGTGGGTGCTGATGCACCTACATCGGCGAGCCGAGAATGCGACGAAGAACGCACACTTGAAGCTCAGCGCTGGCGCCGTTGCGAGAGGACAGCCAGGCAAAAGAGCCTGGAGGATCGTGGAGGATTTTGGTGTTCTGGTTTTGATTGTACTCACTTCGGCTGCTTTCCAGTGGCTTACTGAGGTGTGGACCGAAGGTTATCTTATGGCCTGTGTTTTTTCCAGTGATCTCGAGTATCCCGAAGCTTAGCTGCTCTCATACGCACGTCTTGAAACGTAACACGTGCCGTGCTCAAAACGTCCGTGTTCAACACGTACGTGTTCAGTCTACGTGTTAAGGTCCGTATCAATACGCTACGTGTTGTGTGTTGCATATCGGGGCAGCTAAGTCCCGAAGATGTGCGTAGCCAGGCAGCTTCGCCTGGTGGCACGTCAGCCGGCTCCTCCGCTCGCCTTAGGGCCCCGCCCCGGTGGGCTGTCGCCCCCGTCTCCCCGCGCTTGGCGTTTGCGCCTTCGGGGCCCTCGCGTCGGCCACGGCAGTTGTTTCTCGGAAATAGACCGAAGCATCACAGCGGGCGGGAGGGCTTCCACACCCGAGCATTTTCTTTGGGTGGAGGGCAAAGGGTGATAGCGATATCGCTCGGAGGCTCCCCGCCTCCAGCATATTGCAGTGGCCTCCGGCCAGTGCCGCCGATCCGGGGCGCTCCGGGTGCCTGTGGAAATGAACGACGAAGAGGAAGACGAAAACGACGACGAAAACGAATACGTCGACGACGACGACGACGAGAGCGACGACGACAACGACCACGACCACGACGACGACGACGACGACGACGACGGCGATGACGACGACGACGCGAGCGACGACGACGACGACGACGACGACGACGACGACGACGACGACGACGACGACGACGACGACGATGACGCGAGCGACGACGACGACGACGACGCGACGACAACGACGACGACGACGACGACGACGACGACGACGACGACGACGACGACAACGGGGGGGGAGCTGGGTTGCAGGGGGGCGCGGGGGTCCGCCTGGAAGGGGGCGGGGGGTTCCGCTCGGCAGGGGGGCGGGGCTGCACGGGAGGGGGTCCGCTCTGCAGGGGGAAGGGGGTGGCTGAGCTGCAGGGGGGGAGGTGTCCGCTCTGCAGGGTGACGGGGTGCAGGAGGGGAGGTCTGCTCTGCAGGGGGGAGGGGGCAGAGGAGGGGAGGGGGGTTCGTTCTGCAGGGGGAGAGGGGGGTGGGCTGCAGGGGGCGGGGGGTCCGACCTCTGGAGGGGGGGGGGCGGGGTTGTCGCTCTGCAGGAGGAGGGGGTGCAGGGTGCAGGATGGGGGGTCTGCTCTGCAGGGGGGGGGGGCAGGGGAGGGGGGGGCGGTCCGCTCTGCAGAGGGGGGGGGGGGGGGGGGGCCTGCAGGGGGGAGGTTAGCTCTGAGGGGGGGGTGTTGCTCAGCTCTGTCAAGGGGGGGGGTGCAGGGGAGAGGGGGTGGGGGGGGGGGTCGCTCTGCAGGGGGGGGGGGCGGCGTGCAAAGGACGGGGGTCCGCCCCGCAGTGAGCGAGGTTGGTGCGCTGGGCTGCAGGAGGGGGGGAGGGGGGGTCAAGGGGGGGGGCGCTTCTGCATGGGCGGGGGTCGCTTGGAGGAGGGGGGGTGGGGCGAAGCACTGAATTAGGTCGGAAATAGGTCGGAAATGAGGTCCCCCCCCCCTCGGCAGAGCGAAGCTTGAGCGAGCTCAAGCCCACGCTCTCAGAAACTCACACGCCGGATCGGCGGATTTGAAGTGCCAGGGATAACGGGGGGGATCGCTACTTGGGGTTCAAGGTTGCACTCACAGCCGCACACCTGGCGTGTGCAGTGCATCACGCACGCAAACACAATCAACCCATGCGTGGCACCCAGATGAGACTCACGTCAACATACAGCCGCACACACACACACACACACACACACACACACACACACACACACACACACACACGGACAGCATACACGTACACAATACCCACCGACGCAGACTTGGGTCACTCACATGGCACGCACGCCGTTCGAAACATACGCGTAGGACTTGCAGGACGTTGCAGAGGTGGCACATTCTCGACTCCACAAATGGCGCTTTTTCTAAACCACAGGGGGTCCGCATGAGGTGGGGACGCTGTCCGTCGCACGCTCGCAGGGCGTGGCAGGCGTGGCACTTACTCGACACCACAGGGGGTGCACAGGGGATGGGGGCGTTATCCGTCGCACGCCCGCAAATCGTGGTAGGCGTGGCACTTGCTCGACAGCAGGGGGGGGGGGTACAGGGGGTGGGGGCGCTATGCGTCGCTCGCTTGGCATGGCACTGGCACTTTCCCGATACCACAGGGCGTGCGCTGAACGTGTGGGCGCTGTGTGTCGCACACTCGCAAAGCGTGATGGGCGTGGCACTTTCTTGACAGCATGGGGGGTGCACGGGATGCGGGGGCGCGATTCTCTGCACGTTCGCAGGACTTGACAGGCGTGGCACTTTCTCGACATCAGAGGGGGTGCGCAGGGGGTGGGGGCCGTAAAGCGCGGCAGGTGTGGCAATGTCTCGATGCTATCCATGACACGCTCGCAGGGCGTGGCATTCCCTCGACACCAAACTGGGTGCGCAGGGGGTTGTCATGGAGCGCGGCCTCTGTTCGTGACTCGCTCGCAGGACGTGGCTGGGGTGCCACTTTCTCGACACACGTAGGGGGTGTGCAGGGGGCGGGGGCCGTGCGCGTCGCACGCGCGCCAAGCGAGGCAGGCATGGCACTCTCTCGACACCGCAGGTGGTGCGCAGCGGGTGGTTGCCGCAGCCTTCGCGCGTTCGCAAACAGTGAACGTTATTCAGGAGGGAAAGAAACACACAGACACAATTAATCGTCGATTCCCCAGAAAATATGGGAAAATATGGGAAGTGGGGGGGAAGACAAAAACCCAGAAAATATAGGAAAATATGGGGGGATATTTTTATTTGTGTGTATTTATTTGTGTGTCCCAGTTCCCCTTCAGTTATGTCGAAGAGCTGCGTCTCGCCGCGCCATCGCCAAAGAAGCACTGGTGCAGGGATGAAGATGACTACGGCGGACAGGGGGGGAGGAAGGACGGAAAAGGGAGGAGGGGAGGATGTAGGAGGTTCGCGCGATGTCGCGTTGCGAATCTTGAGGTTTTGCGTAGACGATGACGATGGGAAGAGCAGTGTGTTTGAAAGGTCGGCGTATGGCATAGAACATGTAGGTGAGGCTGCTCGTGGTCTCGTGGCCCGGAAGCCGCCCCCGTCGCCCCCCTCCTCTCCACCTTTCTTTCTCGCTCCTATGATGGGCCTGTTTTCCACCACCACCACCAGAAGTAGGAGGGGGAGGGGGTCCTCCTCCTCCTCCTCCTCGTCCTCCTCCTCCTCCTCCTCCTTCTCCTCCTTGTCCTCCTCCCTGTCCTCCTCCTCCTCCTCCTGCTCCTCCTCCTCCTCCCCCTCCCCCTCCAACTTATGGTGGTGGTGGTGGTGGAAAACAGGACCATCATCCTAGTCTCTGTTCTCTCCGGCCTGGTTCTGTTTGCCTGGCCCACTTGCCTTTGTCGGCCCGCCCCGTGGTCCGAATGAGAGTGGCGGCGGCCCGCCTTGCGAGGAGTTCCCGGTGCCAGGTGTCCGAGTCGCCAGAGGCTTTGGATGACGAGGAGCGCGAGGGAGTCTTCATGTTGGGCTCGCGATCGGATCGACGCTAAGATGGATACGAGATCACGGACACCACAGCGCTGTTGCAGGCATCCGTGGACAGCCTGCACGCGTCGGAGGCGCTGCAGGAGGAGGAGGAGGGGGGCAGGAGCGGAAGGGGGGCAGGCACTGCAGCTTTTTTCTTGCATCTGCCTTGGGGCCGTAGGAACAATGACTGAGCACGCAGAGCCGTCTCTAGGCACACGGGTCGAAGATTCCGAGCCGTCTTTTGCCGGAGGAGGCAGGAGGTGCAGGAGAGGGAGAGAGAGAGAGAGAGAGAAAGAGAGAGAGAGAGAGACAGAGAGAGAGAGAGAGAGAGCAGGAGGGTGAGAGAGAGGAGGGGAATATTGAGGAGTGCGAGGGCGGGTGGGACGCCCGAAGCATCCCACCCAGGTTCACCTGCTCCTCGATGTCCCAGCGCCTTCCGGCCCGCCTCACCTGCCTGCGGGCCACGCTGCCTCGCTGGCCAGTGCGCCGCACACGGTATGACCCTCACTGGCCAGCGCAGCAGGGCCATCACGCCTCAGCGCCACCGCGGCCGCGTCGGTCACGCCAAACTAGCTGGCCGTTGTGCCCCGCTTGCTTGGGTTGGCGCGATCGCAGAGATGCATCAGCCAAAGCCAAGCATGCATCGCAATCGCCACCGCGTGGGTTTTGCAAATCAAATTGCGGGTGGGTGGTTGTGATGTGTGCAAGAGCGTGGGATGTGTCAACTCGTTTGTTGAAATCAATTGCGCCACATAGTTTTTCTCTTCTAAAAAGGATCTATCTACATACAGACTCCACCCCCCAGGAGTATCGGTACCCTTTTTCGCACTGCAGTTTGAAACTGGTTCTGCCCCATCGTCCATCTTAGATATGTTATCAGACCATCCCAGCCCAAACGGCATCGCCCCCTGCAAGATTTACTACGCGCGCGCACTTGATTCTCACAACTCATCAGTTTTCAAGAGTCCTTTGCAAACACGTTTGGTTTCGTAAGGGTTTCAAAATCGGGTGGCCACAAACACACATACATAGCATGGTTTCGCAACAGGAATTGTCAACTTACCCTGGCGACGTACCCAACCCCTGCGCAATGCGGGGCATGACTAGCTTGGGATACGTTGTACGGAGGTGACGACGTGACATGGGCGCATCTATTTCTGCGAGCGGCATTCGTGAGGCTCGCAGCCCACGAAGGGACGGCGATGTCTCGCTCAGATCTGCCTGGTGTCTCGCTCCGCTGAACCCGCCACCAGCCGTCGAAAGTTGCGACGGTTTCGCAGATCGCAGCCCCCAGAGGACGGCGAGGCCCCGCTCAGATCTGCGCGGTGCTTCACTCCGCACGACCCACCAGCAGCCTTCGTGGTTGCAGTTTCGCAGATCGCAGCTTCCCAGGGACGGCGAGGTCCCGTTCAGATCTGCGCGGCGCCTCATTCCGCACGACCCATCAGCAGCCCCCGAAAGTGGCGACCGTTTCGCAGATCGCAGCCCCTCAGGGACGGCAAGGTCCCGCTCAGATCTGCGCGGTGCTTCACTCCGCTGGACCCACCAGCAGCCTTCGGAACTGGGGGCAATTTCGCAGATCGCAGCCCCTCAGGGACGGCGAGGTCCCGCGCAGATCTGCGCGGTGCCTCATTCCGTTGGACCCACCAGCAGCCTTCGAAAGTGGCGACAGTTTCGCAGACCGCTACGCTGGCCCCCCAAGCAGCCCTCGACAGTTGCGACGGTTCCGCAGATCGCACCCCCCCAGGGACGGCGAGGGTTCGGTCAGATCCGCGCGGCGCCTCACTCCGCAGGACCCACCAGCAGCCTCCGAAAGTGGCGACAGTTTCGCAGATCGCAACCCCCCGGGGACGGCAAGGTCCCGCTCAGATTTGCGCGGTGCCTCACCCCGCTGGACACACCAGCAGCCCTCGAACGTGGGGGCAATTTCGCAGATCGCAGCCCCCAGGGACGGCGAGGTCCCGCTCAGACCTGCGCGGTGCCTCGCTCCGCTGGACCCCCCAGCAGCCTTCGAAAGCGGGGGCATATTCGCAGATCGCAGCCCCCCAGGAACGGCGAGGTCCCGCTCAGATCTGCGCGGCGCCTCATGCCGCAGGACCCACCAGCAGCCCTCGAAAGTGGTGACACTTTCACAGATCGCAGCCCCCCAGGGACGGCGAGGTCCCGCTCAGATTTGCGCGGTGCCTCACTCCGCAGGACCCACCAGCAGCCATCGAAAGCGGAGACGGTTTCGCAGATTTGCAGCCTCCCAGGGACGGCGAGGTCTCGCGCAGATTTGCGCGGTGCCTCATCCCGCAGGACCCACCAGCAGCCTTCGAAAGTGGCGACAGTTTCGCAGATCGCAGCCCCCCAGGGACGGCGAGGTCCCGCTCGGATCTGCGCGGCGCCTCGCTCCGCAGGGCCCGCCAGCAGCCCTCGAAAGTGGCGGCCGTTTCGCAGATCGCAGCCCCCCGGGGACGGCGAGGTCCCGCTCAGATCTGCGCGGCGCCCCATGCCGCAGGACACACCGGCAGCCCTCGGACGCGGCGACTGGTTCGCAGATCGCAGCCCCCCGGGGACGGCGAGGTGCCGCGCAGATCTGCGCTGTGCCTCACTCCGCAGGACCCACCAGCAGCCCTCGACAGTGGCGACAGCTTCGCAGATCGCACCCCCCCAGGCACGGCGAGGTCCCGCTCAGATGTGCGCGGTGCCTCACTCCGCAGGACCCACCAGCAGCGCTCGAAAGTGGCGACAGTTTCGCAGATCGCAGCCTCCCAGGGACGGCGGGGTCCCGCTCAGATCTGCGCGGTGCCTCACTCTGCAGGACCCACCAGCAGCCTTCGAAAGTGGCGGCCGTTTCGCAGATCGCAGCCCCCCGGGGACGGCGAGGTCCCGCTCGGATCTGCGCGGTGCCTCACTCCGCTGAACCCACCAGCAGCCCTCGGAAGCGGCGGCCGTTTCGCAGATCGCAGCCTCCCAGGGACGGCGAGGTCCCGCTCAGATCTGCGCGGTGCCTCACTCCGCAGGACCCCCGAGCAGCCTTCGAAAGCGGCGACAGTTTCGCAGGTCGCAGCCCCCCGGGGACGGCGAGGTCCCGCTCAGATCCGCGCGGTGTCTCACTCCGCAGGACCCACCAGCAGCCATCGAAAACGGCGACCGTTTCGCAGATCGCAGCTCCCCAGGGATGGCGAGGTCCCGCTCAGATCTGCGCGGTGCCCCGCTACGCAGGCCCCCGCCAGCAGCCTTCGAAAGTGGCGACAGTTTGGCAGATCGCATCCCCCATCGTCGGCGAAGAGAGGACAGGGGGAGGCGGGAGGCGGGAGAAGGAGGGACGCGACCACAGTGCTCTATTCAAAACGAATACCCAGCCAAGGAGGACTGGGAAAAAGTTTGCGCGCGCGCTCTTGTGAATTCTTGAGAAGAGAATTGATTTCCTATCTGTTCGTAAAATGCTACAGACGGATTTCGCGCGCCCGCATGTCGAAATCGTTCGAACGCCCTTGCGCGCGTGCCGTCGCGAAGATCCCCCCCTGCAGAACGGGGCGAAATGCGCGCGTGCGTCGTCGCGCGCACGCCGGAATCCGTTTAAACCCGCGGTGTCGTTGCGAAGTCAAAAGCGAGTTTCCAAGAAGCACGCGCACGCACACGCACGCGCACAGACACAGACACAGACACAGACACAGACACACACACACACACACACACAACAACAACAACAACAACAACAACAACAACAACAACAACCCACAACAACACATGGGTTTGCAACATTAGTTATACAAAAAAGCGCGCGCCCGCGCTCTTGCGCAGTTTGAAGAAAACCATAGTAGTTTCCAACATGTCCATGGACTTCTGCCAAACGGGCCCCAGGCGCCGCATGCCGACATCACGCGCGCGCCCTCGCGCGCGTGCTGGGGGGGGGGGGCGCAGTGCCAAATGGTGCCACGCGGGCCACTCTCGCGCGAAGGACGCCGTCGTCGTCGTCGGCGCGGTCAGCATCGGCGCCCACACTGGCCGCGCCTTCGTCGGTGTCAGCATCATCGTTAGTATCGCTACGATCATCCTTGCGTCTACCGCTGCCGACGTTGCCGCGATACCTTGCCCGCCCAAGTCGCCGACTCGCACTGAAGCGCCCGCTGGGGTGTGCCCGGCGGCCAGCGCCGCCGCGGCCGCGTCGGTCGCGCCAAACTAGCTGGCCGCTGTGCGCGCGTGCTTCGGTTGGCGCAGCCGCAGAGATGCACCGGCCAACGCCCAGCGTGCATCGCAATCGCCACCGCGTGGGTTTTGCAAATCAAGTTGCGGGTCGGTGGGTGGGGCGTTTTCAAGAGCATGGAATATGTCAGTTCGTTGTTATAACAAATTCTTCGTTCTGATATGAGGCTAGACTGGCCCCCCCCCCCCCCCCCCCTCGGGATTATAGCACTTCCTTTTCGCGATTCATGCACATGCGATTCTGCCCCGCTGTCCATCTGGAATCTGAGAACGTACCATCCCAGTCCAACCAGCATCGGCCCTCCCCCGTGATCCTCTGCAAGAAGTTCTATGCGCGCGCGTTCGATCATCAGAAATCACATTTTTTTGTTCGAGAATCCTTTGCACGAGAATTGATCGAAGAGCACGCGCGCGCGCGCGTTGCGAGCGCATGCGGGCGCCCTTTCAAAACCGAGCGTCAAACAAAAATAGAGAACAAATTGTTTCGCAACGCGTATTGTCCAACAGCCATAGTTTGTTCAACGTGTTTAGAACATGCTACCTAACTGGCATCGTGCGCGCGCGTGTTGAAATCGTTGGAAGGCCGTTGCGCGCGTGCCGTCGCGAGAATCCTGCGCAAAAGCACAGGGCGAAGCGCGCGCGCGCGTCGCGCGCGCGTGCCGAAATCCGTCGAACACCTGAGGTTTCGCAACGGCTTCCAAGCATAATGTCCAAAACTCTTCCAACAACAGCTGGCTTCGAAATGTCAGTTTTAACGCGCGCTCGCGCCCTTGCGCATTCTTACGCAAACCAAATTTCAACAATTGCAATGGAACTCTGCCAAAGGAGCCCCTCGCGCCACATGCCATGCCGACAACATTATCGCGCAATTGCGCGCGTGCTGCGGGGCGGGGTGGGGCGG